AGATATTGTGGCAACACCGTTTTCCAACTCCAAAAACAGATTTGCCTGCTGTGACCTTGAAAATGGGGTCAAGGTCACCAAATCTGACAGGTGTATGCGGTGTCTGTATATACACTATAGTTCCAAATATGAAGACAATCCAGCGATTAGTTCTTGAGATATCGCGGCAACACCGTTTTCTAACTCCAAAAGCAGATTTGCCTGCTGTGACCTTGAAAATGGGGTCAAGGTCACCAAAACCGACTGGTGTCTGCGGTGTCTGTATATACACCATAGTTCCAAATATGAAGACAATCGAGAGGTTTAGTTCTTGAGATATCGCGGCAACACCGTTTTCCAACTCTAAAAGCAGATTTGCCTGCTGTGACCTTGAAAATGGGATCAAGGTCACCAAAACCGACTGGTGTCTGCGGAGTCTGTATATACACTATAGTTCCAAATATGAAGACAATCCAGTGTTTAGTTCTTGAGATATCGCGGCAACACCGTTTTCCAACTCTAAAAGCAGATTTGTCTGCTGTGACCTTGAAAATGGGATCAAGGTCACCAAAACCGACTGGTGTCTGCGGAGTCTGTATATACACCATAGTTCCAAATATGAAGACAATCCAGTGTTTAGTTCTTGAGATATCGCGGCAACACCGTTTTCCAACTCTAAAAGCAGATTTGTCTGCTGTGACCTTGAAAATGGGATCAAGGTCACCAAAACCGACTGGTGTCTGCGGAGTCTGTATATACACCATAGTTCCAAATATGAAGACAATCCAGTGTTTAGTTCTTGAGATATCGCGGCAACAAACAGGTGGGACGTACGGACGGACGGACGGACGGACGGACGGTCGTGAATACTATATCCCCCGCTTCGCGCTTTCGCGCGGCGGGGGATAAATAGAAGTGTTCACCCAAACAAATCATAATTATACAGTGGATGTCCGAAGTAACGATGGTAATAAAATCCTTCGCCAAGTACTGGTCAGGCGACAGAGTTTTGATACTCTAAATTATGGGGATTATGGGCATAAAACAGCCATAAAACAGAATATAATTTCACGTTTTGTCTCAATGTTATGGTGAAATGGAAAGAAATATTGTTATATAATATGGTATAAAAGCCATTGTGAGATGGATATTAACAACATTCTACATTACATAAAGTAATTCTGTAAATGTATCATGATGAATCAAAATTACTATTATTTAATAGTGAAGCTATTCACAGTGCTGGTCAGCATTATCATGTCAATAACAAATGAAATAAACATAAAGATTAATGCCAAATGAATTGAAACAGTCAATCATGCACAGTAGTGGAAACTATCCAAAGAAATGAACCCCTGGAAAAAAATAACATGGTGATATTTCTTGTGTTTTACCATGTGTACTTTCATCTTTTCTGTAGTGAGTGAGTGAGTATGGTTTTATGCCGCTTTTAGCAACATTCCAGCAATATCACGGCGGGGGACACCAGAAATGGGCTTCACACATTGTACCCATGTCGGGAATCGAACCAGGGTCTTCGGTATGACGAGCGAACGCTTTAACCACTAGGCTACCCGACTGCCCCTCATCTTTTCTGTATCATGTAGTGCTATGAGCAACCACTTGATGGATAGAATGTGACGTTTAATAAATGGACTTATTATTATCATTAAAATAACCCAAATATACAAAGAATCTATGATGTGAGGCAGGCAAAAGAGGACATGTTCTAGATATTTCTGTCAACCGATGGTTAGATATATAGAGGTTATCACGCGAGTGTGTTTGGGGATGGTAAATATCCTGCGTTAGGAATAAACATTGTATTTAGCGAGCCTTGGCGAGCTAAATACATAGTGTTTATTCCTAATACAGGACATTTACCATCCCCAAACACACAAGCATGATAACCTCTTTATCATATAGTGTCATTCTTTAATTCTGTGCTTCAAAATCGCTTTCCCTCTCTCACATACATAACCGAAACATTGCGAGTTTTTCTGGAATGCGCGCATTAATATTTATTACGTCACAGGGTAAGTGATGTGTCAGTCGGACAGTGACAGTAGCCAATATAGTTCCAACTGAAATCTGTTTCTTATACAGTGGCGAAGCAACCTATACGCAAAACAACAATTGCTTTTAATTGCCTTTCGCGGCAATCCATCTGTCTGTCCGCTAGAGTAACTGGCCTTTGTCAAAGGGAAGCTACTCTAACCCTAGTCTATGAGACGTCACGGTCACGGTCAGTCGTTGTTGACAGTCGGTCTGTCCTGTCATAACGTTAAGAAGTGCAGTCAGATGTGCACACAGCGACAAAACGAAACAAGGTAACAATTCAAACATATTTCGGACAAATCCAACTATTTTAATTTGTGGAGAAGGTTTCAAGCCGCAGAGGTCTACAAGCACAGATATGGCTACTGGTCCCGCTTGGCTAGGCCTCGTGCCCTCGCAAAATTGTTTCGAAATTTATATCTCTAAAGTTGCCCAAACTTATAAAATGCCTTAGCTACGTCACAGTTAGAGACTGATTTTCAGTATATTAGACTGTTCTTTTGATAATGATAGCAATTATCCCAGTAGTTTATCCAGATTCCCGATGGTTAATTCTGACTCGATCCCCGAATGATGAGGGCGACGCCATGTTTGTTTATAAACAGTGAAAGTAGTCCCTACTTGACCTTTGATATTTGCATCTCTATCCGCATATGACCCCAACGGATATCGTTTTTATCCGTTGGCTTTATCCTGCCGAGAAACCTACCCATTATATGATAAACAAATATATCCTTTAAAACATGTCTGACTTCTGTGAAACAAGGAAGCTATTGCATGTACATATATTAAGGAGATCCAAAGTACAACAAACATCTGTCGAGTCAGTCATTCAGCAAGGTTGAATACATAGCTTACAATGCTTGCTGCTAACATCATCAAACATCATTTAATCTCACATTTGGAAATAATAATCTAATACCAAGGAATTCTGTAGGATGTAATATACCGGTTATAACATATTGATTATCATGCAGGTAAAAAGCCCGATCAAGCGATGGTAGCCATCATCTAAACTTGCGTAACCTGAGATTTTACCTCACTCACATAAACAAAATAGCTAAATAGATTACTTGAGGATAAGTAAATTCAGACAACTGTTCTATAATCAGGGATTAAACTCAAGCTACTTCTGAAAATGTCAACCATTTTGTTGGCTAAATGTTGCAATAATATTTATAGACTAAACACCTTAAAATATTCTAGTGCAATATGAGTTTTGAAGACCAACTGATAATCTTTGTTCAACAATGTTGTCTGCATTAAGATTGATGTTAGCAACATATAGCAACATTTCATTTACAATGACTACACCAAAACAAAAGCATAGGTATATATTAAACAACTATATTTACAACAATCTATCACAACTTTTAAACAATGTCTAACAGTTGCCTAGTTTCACCCCCCTCCCTTATAAATATATATTCCCTTGGATCTCACAAACACCTCATAGCCGATGCTAAGGAATTCATCCCTCATACTCATACAACCCACCTTAGTGTATTGAATAAGGTAATTCACATTCCAATCAATCAATTGACTCATGCCATTATAAATACTGTTTCAGCAAACTTGCATTGAGGACCCACTCAAATTTCAGCCAGTCTGTTGCACAGATCAATAATTTACTGATCAAGACATACGAAATTGAATCACCTAATACGTCACCCAATTACATAACACTATTTCCATACCCATTAAATAACAATTAACAGCTACAACAAAAGTTCTAATCATTGAATCCACACACAAATAATCACTCTTGTTAGCACCAATGACCAGCTCATTCTAGCTGTGGTCAAGTAGACTTCAACTCCTAAGGAATGCCGGTGTATCTACAAGGTGTCAAGTTTGGTGTACACCTTTAGACACACATGTTCTTAGTAACAAACAGTATTTGATTGATTAAGATTGAAATCATGAGTTGATACTAAGCACTCTAATGTATCAGATTACAGTCTAGCCAATGGCACAAAAGCATAAAAAATTGTCTTACCCACTCATATCTGGTGAGATGAATTTTAAATTGTTTAGTTAAACATGTGTCTAATCCAGTCCTCATTTGACCCAAAACATCTCCAGGAAGTGCTGCCATCTAGCAAGGGAGGTAACTCTAACTCATTATGCTACACAGGTAGCAAGTGAGGGATTTTATAGTGTTTCAACCAGTCATAACATTTACATAAAACTAAATCAATGTTTTCTTAAAAACTAACCATGAAGTGAATATAAAAAACTCACATTTCCCAATGAAACAAGAAAATAATAACATCCCTGTTTGTAGACAATGCAATATTATGGGCAGCTGCTAAAAACCGTCATTAACTCATTTTCAATAAAGAGCTTTTTGAACTTACCATAAGAATGATGTTGTAATTATTACTTGAACATTACAGCATTAATTGCATCTGAATAATTGTTTGTTTGTTGTCTAACGGCACTCAGCAATATTCAGCTATATGAGGGCACCCATTAAATAATCGAGTCATTCATGTGATTAATGATTCACACAGTCGAGGTACGATCACACAATCAACCAAGACAGCGCGCCTGATCACCCGATCCATTTGGTCCCCTCTCCAGCCAGCATAGGTTGCTGGGGACCAATTCTAAGCCAGAATTCGCATGGACATCTGATGAAATAACCTTTCCAACTGTGCAACTGTGGAATTGCTTTCAACACTTCATCAATTCCCAAGAAGTAATTAAGATTATTCAGCTGGAGTGAGTGAGTGAGTATGGTTTTACGCCGCTTTTAACAATATTCCAGCAATATCACAGCAGGGGACACCAGAAATGGGCTTCACACATTGTACCCATGTCGGGAATCAAACCCGGGTCTTCGGCGTAACAAGCGAACGCTTTAACCACTAGGCTACCCGACCGCCCTTATTCAGCTGGAATAAAAACTGACATGAATGCAACATGAATATTAGAAAGGAAAAAAAAAAGTAACTTACTCCTCCTGAGTGTAGATTGTCTGGGCTCGTGGCTTGACTTTAGTATTATCCTGAGATATGGCACTCCGTACATTATTGGGCAAAACACTTTTGGCAAAACTGAATATCTTTGTACTTATTCCATCCATATTACTGGAGTTCGTAATTCCATCGAACGGTTTACTGTTCCTATAATTGGCCGCGGAATGCACATTGGATCCATACCCGAGTATAGAAGGGCCAAACAAGGCCTTGTAACATGGGTTGTGGCAGAAGGGCAGTCCCTTGTGCTGAAAACAAACACAGTACAGTTAACCATTGACACTGATTAATGCAACAGTACAGAACAACGTTAATAATGAGTGAGTGAGTGATTATGGTTTTACGCAGCTTTTAGCAATATTCCAGCAATACCATGGCGGGGGAACACCAGAAATGGGCTTCACACATTGTACCCATGTGGGGAATCGAACCTGGGCCCAAATTTGGCGTGACGAGTGAAAGCTTTAACCACTAGGCTACCCCACCCCCCTGTTAATAAAGATCATTTAGGACCAACCATTTGATTTAAGCTTGGGGCCGGGATTTTGCTTTGAGATTGTGATTTTTTGTTCTCTTTTGTTAAATGATGAACATAATGAGCTGTATTCTTTGGACACTTTAATAAAGTCTGCTATTTTTTCCCCTACAATATGAGGCATATGCACTTTTTTTCAGTAAGTCGGGTTTCTCCCTAAGAATAAATATGTCATCTTATAATTTATTCATAGCCATTCAGGTTAACTATTTCTTGTTTAACGTCACACTCAGCAATATACCAGCTTTGAGAAAGCGGTCTCAAAATAATGTGGACCAGACAATCTAGTGATTGACATCATGAGCATCAGTCCACACAATTGGGATAAAATGACACACAATTAACCAAGGCAGTGAGTCAGAGAACCTGTCCATATAGTCGCCTTGTATGACAAGCATAAGATGCTGGGGACCTGAATCATTCACAGGAATCTCCACAACTTTGTTTACACTGTAAAAATATTGGAATACCTTGATCCTGTTTGTATAAGCGACCACACATGCAGTGATATATTTAAAATACTGTTCAAAGCAGCAGTAAACTCAAGTCACTTGTGGATAATGTATTAAAGGATCAACTTTCAGGCCCCGAAAAAGTGAAGCATTCATAAAATCTTCCCTTCTCACAACTTTACTGTACACGTTCATTGGGCCTGGAAAGGATAAGGTTTAGTTTATGCTGACCTTTATAAATTTCGCTTCAGCACCAAGAGCTAAGTGTATCATGACTGATATAACATTTCAAGTCCAGAGCCCTGTTCCACAAAGCAAAGTCCCTGTAAGCACCACCACTGCCATCAGTCTATGTTAAGTGAGTGAGTTGGGTTTAACACCGCTTTTAACAGTATTCCAGTTATATCATGGCGTGTCAGCTTAATGTGGGAGGAAAGCCCGAAGTGAAGCAGGACTAAGACGTTTACCACTTCGGTGAAACCCATGATCACGGGTATGGTGCAAACCTAGAAACATAATCGGGCGCTCTATGTTAAAGTATAGGAGTTACAGGTACTATCATCATCTAAGCACTATGATAGCTTTGTGGACTACCACCAGCTAATAGAGCAACATCCAGTAATCTCTGGAAATATTTTCTCTTTCTTGATTATTTTCTAACTTATTGTTTGGACTTCATCCAAGAATTCTGAAAGAAAAACATCATTTTGTGAAGCCCACTTCTGACTGTGGGTTCTGTGATTATTCAAAATAAACTACCTGGTTGTCACATCTGTGATTCATTGGATATTAGGATCCATCACAGAAACTGTAACCAGACAATTATTGCCAAGACCTAGTGACCTCGAGGTCTCCGACAAGCAGCTTATGTACTGGTGCTTCAGTCATATCAAGATACATGGAACAGAGTTGAATGAATATGTACGACATGGTTGAGTTAGGGCAACACTTCCAAGACCTTTGTAACATCCGACTGCATCGTCAAACCAAAATTAAAACTTACTGCTGACAAACTCTTCTGACAAAACTTTTACTCACACATGTCCATATTATGCTAAAACCCATTAATATCAACACTGAGAACCAGAGAACTGTGTCATTATTTCTCAAGATTGTGTTTGAGAAGAGACATAAAAATCTCTGATTTTAATTTTTTGTTGATAATACATTTTATTTCATAATATTTGGCATGTCCAGTGAACAAACAAATCTTGTTTGAACCTAAGACAAAAAAACTTATTTTCTGAAACAAATTATTTTATTATTAAAACAGGCCCCTCCAAAAGAACAAATGGATGGTCCCTTATTCCATCAGCTTCCTCTCTCAAAGACGTGTTCACTGACACACTCCCCTCTCCAACCATCCATCAATATACATTGTAGTGTTGTGTGATGAAACATTTCTTTCACCAGTCATGGAAAATGAAGACTGGCTATTCTCTGGCATTGACATTATATATTTACAAGTACTAGAAAAAATACATAGACCATAGAAAGAAAATCATTTTATCCTACACCTTACAGGGGCAGACACCTTTGGTCATATACAACTAGTCCATAGCTCATTTCAGACTAGTGGTTTATGTAAAATAACTATATCTTGGAAGAAAACAGGAGCCCAGTGGTTAAAGTGTTCCCTCATCACGCCAAAGACCTGGTTCGATTCCCCACATGGGTACAATGTTTGAAGCCCGTTTGTGGTGCCCCGCTGTGATATCGCTGGAATATTGCTAAAAGCGGCATAAAACAATACTGACTCACTCAATCACTTGGTAGAAAACAACTAGTCCAGCTAGACTTCACTAGTCTTTGCCTAGTGGCAGTGTCTAGCACTGACCCTGATTAACCTTGACTTAATAATAAATCTTTCCTCCATAGGAAATTGACAACCAAGAATACCATATAATATACAGGCCAAAAATAGAACCCTTTTAGGTTCACCTTTATAGAAAATAGCACTGTCCTCCAGAACATAAAATAGTGTCACAATACATCAAAAAGATTTTATTCCAGTTCATATAACTCAAACAGGTTTAGGTTAAAGAAAGTCCATTCCTTCTATTTCAGTCTGTACAATCAATTGACAAGGATCTGTCGCTAACAGGCTATAGAGACTTGATAGGCATGAGCCATAGCCATGATGTAAACGGTTGGGAACTAATTATTCTTAGCAGACCCTGCAGGACTGAAGTATTGATCAGCTCGGTTCCGTCTCTTGGATGTATTATGTATTAGGTGGCTATTCAGGTCTACTGTTGGTTTAAGGGACAAAATGGAAGCATTGTGATGTATGAGATTGACTGTTCAGAAGCATCTGAGATTTTTGTTTTTGAAAACATTTATTTTGATATCGGTGAAACTGTTTTCTTTGATAAATTCTTCATGCAGTATGTTATCTTGAGTGTGACTTGAGTTGGAAAGTGAAGGGTTTTATACCACTGGCTGCAGTAGCAAGAATCCATATTCCAGTTTTGTACGAAGTTGAAATACATATTTTGTAACCAGGGAATTCTAGTGAGTTCGGTGTTGGGGAAAAACAATTCAAGCAGTCAGTGAGTATTTGCAAAGGACTCAAGGTCCTCTATTTCTGTGCTGCAACACTCACAGAGTTGATCATAACTAAAGGATCGGAATTCATTTTGTACGCTGACAGAAAGTTTAACTTTTCTGATGATTTGCACATGGATGTCCCTTTCTTGAAATACAAGCACTTTACATTTACAAGAACTATCAATGGATTTCAAGGACTTCCTCAACACTTTACCAGCCAAATACAGAATAAGACTCAGAAACACGCAAACCTAGAGTTTGTTTGTGGTTGGGCAAGTGTGTAGATGTATGAATGGATGGTTGAGTGGCCACTGGAATGGTTGGTTGAATGGTTGAGTGAATGACTGTCAGTAAATGGCTTGGCAAGTGTGTTGGTGGGTGAGTGGATGGTTGAATTGTTGAGTGAATGACTTAGTAAATGGCTGGGCAAATGTGTTAGTGGGTGAGTGGATGGTTGAATGGTTGAGTAACTGGCTGGACAAGTGTGTTGGTGGGTGAGTGAGTGGTTGAGTGGATGGTTGAATGGTTGAGTAACTGGCTGGGTAAATGTGTTGGTGGCTGAGTGAGTGGGTGAGTGGATGGTTGAATGGTTGAGTAACTGGCTGGGCAAATGGGTTGGTAGGTGAGTGAGTGGTTGAGTGGATGGTTGAATGGTTGAGTAACTGGCTGGGCAAGTGTGTTGGTGGGTGAGTGAGTGGGTGAGTGGATGGTTGAATGGTTGAGTAACTGGCTGGGTAAATGTGTTGGTGGGTGAGTGAGTGGGTGAGTGGATGGTTGAATGGTTGAGTAACTGGCTGGGCAAGTGTGTTGGTGGGTGAGTGAGTGGGTGAGTGGATGGTTGAATGGTTGAGTAACTGGCTGGGCAAGTGTGTTGGTGGGTGAGTGGGTGAGTGGATGGTTGAATGGTTGAGTAACTGGCTGGGCAAGTGTGTTGGTAGGTGAGTGAGTGGGTGAGTGGATGGTTGAATGGTTGAGTAACTGGCTGGGCAAGTGTGTTGGTGGGTGAGTGAGTGGGTGAGTGGATGGTTGAATGGTTGAGTAACTGGCTGGGCAAATGGGTTGGTAGGTGAGTGAGTGGCTGAGTGGATGGTTGAATTGTTGGGTGAATGACTGTCAGTAAATGGCTGGGCAAATGTGTTGTTCGGTGAATGAGTGGATGGTTGAATTGTTGAGTGAATGACTGTCAGTAACTGGCTGGGCAAGTGTGTTGGTGGGTGGGTGGGTGGGTATTAGATTACTAGAGGGTGTATGAGTGAGTGAGAGGTTGAAAGGTTGAGTAAGTAACGGAGGGAATGAGTGAGTGAGTGAAAACATTATGAACGTCAACATACAGAACATGTATGTATCACACACTGTGGGAAATACACCAAGAATCTTTACAGTCAAGAAGGAACACAGAACCTCCAACCACTAACACCTCAAACAGCGTCAACAATATCATTCACAATGTCCAAAGTGGTTAGTTTTGGAATCATAAACAAATTCGGGACAAGCACTCAATCGGCAGAGAAATGAGTGTTTAAAAAATATAGCCTCAAAATAGCCTCATAAAATGTACTTTGAGTCAAGTTGGTGAAGTTTCCAAATCAAAGTCAGACAAACAATACATAGAAATAGACACAATATTGACATGAGTAACAGGAGATAACCAACCAAGAAGCTGGTCACGAAATAGTATGTACACTCTATCACGCTAAGTCTTCCTGTTGAA